CAATTATTGATGAAAAAACTACAAAAAATTATTAAGAATTAATAATAACATAGAGCTCAATTAGAAAGTGAAGTTCTTGTCCGATCATTAAAGTTAAGAATACTTAAGCATGTCAGTATTTAGATGGGTGACCGCTTGGGAGCATTATTATTTTGTATAATAATATATAATTATATATATTTATATATAATCATATATATTTATATATGGGCATATTTCATATATATTTATATATATATTGCTTTATATATATTTATATATGTTTATATATGGATTTTTTTCCCGGGTATTCCATACGTTTCAATATTTTCCGAACAGTTTGTAATTTGTGATCCGTGATTTGTAAATGAAATTGTCATACACTGGTTTAAACAAAATGAACAAATTTATTTATGTCTTAAAAGATCGATTAAATATGGAAATGCGCAACAATGTGGTATATAAAATTTCGTGTAAAGACTGTGATGCTTTATACGCTTGACAAACTGGGAGATTACTCAAAACTCGCATCGTATTCATATTATTCCGTAATCATATTATTAGAAATATGAATCAACGGTAATCACGGATCATAGACTTAATAACTACGAGTTCGATTGGCAGGGGGTGGAATTATTGAATAAGGAGAGTGTCTGTGGCAAACGCCTTATGTCCGAGAAATGATTTTCATAAAAAGACAATTTAATAGTCTGAATTTACAGAGCGACACGGAAAATATGCATCATGCATCATGCGATTTAATAAAGATATTACCGAAATTATAAATTTATTTTAATTTTACTTTAATTTTATTTACAATTTTATTTTATTTTATTTATGTATATTTTTTTATTTCTTTAATTTTTATTTATTTATGTTAAATTTTTAATATTTATTAATTTTTTATTAATTTAATTTAATTTAATTTAATTTATTTCAATTTTATTTGTGCTGTTTAGTTAACAATTAATTTTAATAATAAACAGATGTATGACGATTGGATTTATTTATTATTTTATAATGTAGGACTTCGCTAAAATTTTGTATAATAAAAACGTAGATATTTGAGAATCGCCAGACAGAATTTAAAAAAGTAAAACTTTTCTCTCGACCGTACTGGCAAATATTATTTATTAAATCACAACGTTTCGACCCTTCCTTGAGTCCTTGAGTTTCTCATAATTCGTCTAAGAGTCTTGACGTGTTGGCAAACCGACACTATGTTCGTTTTTGACATCTTAAAATTATAATTTTATTTTTATTTTCACAAATCACTTGATAAGAACTCAAGGAAGGGTCAAAACGTTGTGATTTAATAAATAATATTTGCCAGTACGGTCGAGAGAAGAGTTTTATTTTGTATAATGTTTAGACTGTCTTTTTTAATGACTTTGACTCTATAATATATAAACGCGTAAGTCAAAGTCAGTTTTGATCAGTGTCTTTCGTTTATCATTATGTATGTACCTCGTTCTCTGCACATCGAAGTATTCTTATCGGCGACTACCAGAATAAGATGCAGACACTGATCTGATAGGCTTCATTGCAAAACAACAATTTTGTTTATACCATTGGTTACATTGTAAATAATTTTATTATATTCCGGATCCATTATTATATTATATTATACCTTATTATATTTTAGAAGGCTGAAGATGATCCAAATGATAAGACCAAAACGTACAATAAATATATAAATTAGAGTTAATTGACAAGCTCGATAGTTAAAAGTATAAGATTTAATTTTTATTAGGCCTTTTTCGAGCACAAAGTTAGAATAAAATAAAATAAAAAAGACATAAATATCAAATGTAACATTTATTAGAAGCGGAACGTTTCGTACTTTTACTTAAGACTTCTTCAGCCACAATATACAAACGCTATAAACGTGTGTCAAATGATAAAAATTATTCTGTATGTATACGTGTCAAAATTATTCGGCGTATAATAATCACGTTTACTTAACAATAACTATTGAGTTATGAAGACAATGACATCAATCTTAATGCGACGACAAACATTTGACTAAAAAAATCGTGAAAGTTTTCAATTCATGTCATGATAGGATTCAGTTCACGATGGAAATAGAGGAGAATAGATAAACTTTTTAAATTTAAAGATTATGATTAATAAAAATAATAAAATTGTCACAGATTGGTTCCATAAAAAACACATTTAGACAGATATTTATCGTATTTTTCTAATTATTCTTTGTGTCATAAAATAGGCACAATTTATAATTTGATAGATAGAACCGTATTATTGTCACATCCTCAATATCATAATAAAAACTTGAAATATGTAATAGACAAATTGTTGGAAAATGGATATCCCCTGTCTTTTATCTTTAAGCATGTTAAGGTCAGGATAAAAAATTAATGTTTACGAAATTATGTCAAAGTAATACTGTTGATAACCAATTTAATGAAAAACCAGATGCGAAATTTATAGCAATTCCTTATATTAAATATTTAACTAAACATATTTGCAAGTCCTTTCGGAATACAGATTTTGAAGCGGGACATAAATGCTTGAATAGGCTTGATAATATTGTTGAGGTTCATAAGGATACCACTCCAAAAGAATATAACAATGTTATATATAAGATCGAATGCAAAGAGTGCTCAGCATCATATGTTGGACAAACTAAGCGACAATTACATACTAGGATAAGAGAACACAAGACGAATATTAAACAACATGAGACAAAACACACGGTAGTGTCTCAACATATCATGGAAATCAATCATAATTTCGACTGGGATAATCCCAAGATTTTAGATCACGAAAGAAATTATTATAAAAGGTTGATCTCGGAGACTATCCACATAAAACAACAACACAATGGTCTAAATGCAACAGAAGATAGCGAATATTTAAATTCTTCTTACTTTCTTGTTATTAGATTCTATTTTTAATAAACAAAATTATACAACATGATTGTCATTGTCCTTTCGTCACTGTTTGCTTAGTATATTAATACCGTCGCTTTAAGATTGATGTCATTGTCTGTTCATAACTCAATGGTTATTGTTAAGTAAATTGTGATTATTATACACCAAATAATTTTGACACGTATACATACAGAATAATTTTTATTATTTGACACACTGTAAAATTTATTTATTCAAACTTGGACAAACGATTGGTGAGTTTAGTTTAATTATGTAGACAACACCCACATAAAATTTAATATTCTTAAAATTGTTAAAGTTAATTTTTATATTATGTTTATAGCGTTTGTATATTGCGGCTGAAGAAGTCTTAAGTAAAAGTACGAAACGTTCCGCTTCTAATAATGTTACATTTGATATTTATGTCTTTCTTATTTTATTTTATTTTAACTTTGTGCTCAAAAAAGGCCTAATAAAAAATAAATCTTATATATAAATTAGATTGAGCAAAATAATTATATCAGCGTACTAATTACCTCGCTTGACTCTCAATTGGCCCTTCGCTTTCCTTTATATCATATTAAATAAGTTTGGTTAAAATTGACTAAAACACTATTAAATTTTTTTTTTTAATTATTTCAATATTTTATTTGAAAAATACATTCAAAGACAAAAAATGACCACCTTATTAATGACAATATATTTATTTTTTTTCAAGTTATATTATTTGAAATTTTTTAAATTTAAAAAAATCAAAAAAATCAAAATTCAAAAAAATTTTTAAATTAATGTTTTTAAAAATATATAACTTGGTAATTAATAAAGATAAAAATCTAAAAAAATTCATGGAAGCTACTTTCAATAGATACAAAAAGATAAAAAATGAAGCAAATAAAAAATGGTCGGGAAAAAAATCGTTGATTTGGTATTGAATGCTTCATATATGTATGTATATCAGCGATCTCAAGAGCATAGAATAACGTTTGCACGAAAACAACGGTATCTTTTTAAGAAATAAAGGATTTGTTTAGAGTCGAACCAGTTTTAAACTATAAAGAGTACGTAGACTTCTGATAGCCACAGAAATTTTTTTGTTCACTTTGTGTTGCAAACTGATTTGGAAATGTAGACAAGAAAACTCTAAAAGTACTAATCTTATATAGTATAAAATGGATTTCAATCAATTAATAAACAGTAACTGAGCCAGTCAACCAATTTGCAGAATCTGAGTTTTTCTCGTTATAAATCAGTAACTGTCTATTATTTAATTTTAGCCTTACATTTTTTATCTAGCAGGTCATAACTGCAACATATAAGAAAATCAGCAGATTTAATCGAAATCCATTTCAGATTAGTGCAGATAGTTTTCAGGTCTTTTATCTTTTTTCAAAGCATATTACATCTTTTATTCAGCAGGGCATAAACTACAATAACATACAGCCTTGGCCAAAGGTATTAGGCACCCTATAATAATTCTATTATCTTATAATGTTTCTCTGTGTAAAAAAGAAATGAAATCATAGAATTTATAAAAGAAAGTGTTTTTTATTGTTTTTTTTCAATATTAGTGGCGCTTCCTTTTGCTTTAATTACAGCAGCAATTGTTTTGGGCATAGTGGCTACTAAATTGACGACATATATTATTCTGGTACTACATTTTCCATTATTCTTTCTTTAAAATTTCTTTTTAAAAATGCGCACTAACATATTTGCAACAATAGTGACATCTGACAGCAGACTAGCACTATCACTCCTAAAATGTGAATATAGCAATTAAAGTAAATCAATTGTTTTTTGACCCATTAACTGAGATATCTATTGTTAAAAATACTCTTTAAACATTTCAATATAATAAAAATTAACAATAGAATCATTTTCAATAAATATTCAAAAGATGTCTCGTAAAATAAAGGTGCCTAACTTTTGGCCAAGGCTGTATGAATAAGCCAGCTGATTTGATCGGGATCTGTATTAGAATTAGCGAGTTCTTTTTCCACACATCAGAAAAGTTGCCACCGCCTTCCTTTCTGCGCGTACGGCCCTGTGTAGCGAAGAAATCACGTGATCGCTGCGACAATCTCGAGCGAAGTCTATTGTGGGTCACGTGCGGGGAGAAGCGAGCAACGAGCAGCTCGAGTTGCTGGACTGGACTGGCAGTGGCGGTAGTAGAGGAGTAGGTATGTCGCGCGAGGTGAATGCGCGCCCGATCACTTCATTCACTTGTCGGTCGCCGTCTATCGGACATGTTTTGCGTTCATGTTCGCCTCCAGTTCTCGTATACAATTACATTTCGTCGATTATTATTTCAACGTAAACAAAATATATGGCACGATCTTTGGGGATATTCAGTGGTATAAATATAATTGTATTAGCGATCAGTGAGTTTTTGGTGCTCTCTGGTGATTCGCGGGAAATGTATCGTTGCCTGACCGGCCATTGAAAAGTGCAAACCAACTCTGCCACTGCCGCTCCCGTTCGAGCATTTTTTTGCACGCGAAAAGGATCTACGCTTTACAATTTCACGGATGAGATGACGGTCGCCGGACAGGTAGATCTACCGAATCTGACTACTAATCAAAAATCGTGTGTTCCTATAATTTTAGATAAAATGCATGTATCTGTTTTTGACGTAAGTTTTGAGAAATTTATTTAAAAAATTGATTTTTTAATTATTAGATATGGTTCCTTTATAAAAAAATTTAAAAATAAATATCGCTATTATTTGTTGATTTTTCACTTGTAAAATTTTATTTTTCAAGAATTGAAATTTCATCTTCGTATTATTTACAGATTATTTAAAAATAATAATTGAAAAAATTTACTACGTAATTTCAAAAACTGCAATTCTTTAATTAAATCAACTTTAAATCTTGAAAAATATCTATTCTTTTTTTATTACATATGTATCAATATAGCAAGTAAATAATTGACACACATAATAATCTTTAGTAAAAAATCTTCAAAAATAATAAAAGAAACATATAGTTCTATTTGCTAATTTTGTTACCTCTCGATAATTCGCTATTGCTTAATTTTTCAATTGTTTTAGTTTTATATGAAAGAATTTATATAGTCTACCCCGGATATGACACCAAATTACGACACGCGTGTTATCGCTCATTTCGTGGCGTGATGTTAGTCGGCGTAATCGGGCTGACGTTAAACGTGACTATAATTATCTGCGTGATTAGTTGTCATCCGGTTTACATTGCCTCATCACTTGACTGCTAATTGATCGCCCTATATTGTCGATAACTGCACGATAAGAAACGCGAAACTGTGCATGGACACACTATTAATTAATTTGGAATTTTTGAATACAATCTAACATTTGATCGATCAATCAACAAACGAGATAAATTCTTGAAATGTTTGGATGATCGTTCTCAAGTTGAAAGATATATTTGATTTATTTGAATTGTCTTTATTTATTTGTTTATCTTTAGATAAAATTAGGCAATGTATTATGAATAGGGAGCTGAACGCGTGAGAGAATATGAGCTTTATTTTTTGTAATAAATATTAATTTTGCTTTTAAAAATTTTTCTTAATATCTGAATTATTTCAAACAATCAAATTTTTTGATTCGCTAAAATAGATTGACCATTCTGTTCAAATTATTCAAATTTAAATTTTTGCTAATGTTTAAAAATTTATGAGTACTTGATACATATAAATATAATTGTATAAATAGATATTTATATATTTACAGTTTTTTCAAGGAAAATGATAAGGGTAAATCTTTTAAAATATTTTAATTAGTTTAGAATCAAGTTTTTTTAACATTTTTTACTTGTTAACAGAACGGGATTTTCGGCGAATTAAATTTTAAAACGAAGAATTGACAATGAAATCATATCTTTCAGTTATTTTCATGTAGACTTCATTTTTTAATTCAAAAAATTAATTACTCTTATTTAAAAAATTCTAATTTAATTGTATTTTTATACAAAAATTATTAAAATTATCAAGTTGCAGTAAATAATAATGTATAAATAATGATAAATTAGAAATCCTTGATCAACAATTATTTGTTTATTTTCCGTAGGGGGTTCGAGGATATTGAAATTAAATCTCAAGTATGAGATTATTTCATATTTTAAGTCTTGGTAGTATACTGAGAGATTGATACGTGCTTTGTGCACAGTAGTTTATTTCCAACGAAAACTTAATTTTCGTTGGAAATGTACGCAGCATCATCCGCGCGTATGGCTCTTTAGGCCTTCTCATTCATGATTATTATTTAAATCCTTGATATTTTTGCTAAAGAAAAATTACTTTTAAAACACTCAACAAGAATATTGATGGCTTTTAGAAAACATATTCTGAAATTCCATATATGATTGATATATGTATATCGTAATACTTTTATTTCATCTACTTTAATATATGTATTAATTTAGTTTTTATATACATCTACTTTTATTGTAAGAATTTTTTCTTTTTTTCATGTTTTTATTTTAATTATACAGTTAATTGATGATGGTAGTGAAGCCGAAATTTAATTTTAAACTAATAAATAATACCTAAAATTATTTCGTTTTTTTCTCCTCTCTGTCTTTATCTACTCTGTTTGGCTCTTATTATTGCTTTTATTACTTATATATCATACATATAAATATAATATTCACATACTACAAAAAAAGTTAAGGGTAGGATGATCAAAAGTGAACTTTACAAGATATTTTATATTTTAATTTGACAATATTATAATTGATAATATAGCTGTTAGTTACAAAATATATATATTATATATATAAAAATGTTTTATTAAAAATATTTAAGATGACAGATTTTTTAATAACTTTTTTCAAATTTTTTTATTACATGTGATGAGAGCTTGCGTAAAATAGATTAATTTTTACTATATAAATTTTTTTTAAACTTTTGTGTGGACCGTTACGCTGAGCCTATATAATATATGTATATAAATTACACACACACGCGTGCGCGCGCGCATGTGTGTGTGTGTGTGTGTGTGTAATTTATATATATTATATAGGGTCAGTGTAACGGTCCACACAAAAGTTTAAAAAAAATTTATATATTAAAAATTAATCTTATATAGGGTCAGTGTAACGGTCCACACAAAAGTTTAAAAAAAATTTATATATTAAAAATTAATCTATTTTACGCAAGCTATCATCACATGTAATAAAAAAAATTTGAAAAAAATTATTAAAAAATCTGTCACCTTAAATATTTTTAATAAAACATTTTTATATATATAATATATATATTTTGTAACTAACAGCTATATTATCAATTATAATATTGTCAAATTAAAATATAAAATATCTTGTAAAGTTCACTTTCTGATCATCCTACCCTTAACTTAAAAAAAAAAAAAAAAATATATATATATATATATATATATATATTATATACATACATACATACATACATACATACATACATACATATATATATATATATATATATATATATTTTTTTTTTAACAAGTTTGTCTAATTTGCTTTGTCCTTGTTTTTTGTTTCGTTTGCTCTAAGACTCATACTGATTGACAATTTAATTATGTATTGACACATCGTTAATTTTTAGTTTTTTAATGATATGAATTTATTTTCGCTTTAACACTTCATTTATTAAGAATCTAATTATATATTGTTACACTGAGGAAGACCAAGTAGGGTCCGAAACGTTTGTACAGAGATTCTTATTAATTAAATGTTTTATATTTAGTTAAAGAATTTAATTATTATTTCATCTCATTAATATATACACCTAATATTGCTCGTTTAGTTGGTCAATATTAACAAATTCTTTTATATATATATATATATATATATATATATATATAAATTGTTATTATATAATAAATGATTATTATGATCGAACAATTGTGTTTGTACATTATCGAGAATTTCCGGGTTGGAATACTTGACATTCTGGCCTTTCACGCAATCACGAGAGAGCATAGCAAAGTGGACAAGCGCGATCAGCTCCATTAATCACTCGAAACTCGGCCCGCATCTGCTTTGTTGAAAGTATGTCGAATCCGGTTGAATCTCATACTACGCCTTGATGAAGATAGCTACAGAAATGCGCGACTACTATATGTATAAAAGGACAGAAATATAAACTTTCATGCCAATTAAACATCTGAATTTTTTCAATAATCTGCACTTTTAAATTAATTGTAATTAAACATTTTTTAATCATATAGGTATCTATTTTTTTAACAATAAAAAACGTGTCATATTTCATACAAAATTCGCACAGTAAATAACAAAACTGACTGTGCATTTATATATAATGCAATAAATGTAGAAATTTGGTTAGGAAGTAATATGTTCTTAAATTAAATTAAATTTTACATATACATATTTAATTTATTCAGATAGTCATCTTTGATAATATTATTAAATTAATTAGCAATTGAACTGAATCTTTGAAGTGCAGTCAAAACATTGTCGCGACTATTGTAGAATCAATAAATTAATTTCATTTTGTCCCAGTTAGAAGTAAAAGTTTATAGAAGAATAATAAATCAAGGAATTTTGAAAAAAATGTACCAAATGTCTTAAGAAATTTCATAGAATAATTTTATTCAAAATTTTTAATGCTTTAAAGTAAAAATAAAAAAATATAAGAATTAAAAATGTAAATAAATATAATAAATGTAATAAATATAATAAATGTACATATATATTATTAAAAAATGTAAAATTTGTTTAAAGTAAATAAAAAATAAAAATAAATGCGTTTATTTAGTACATAAGTCACACTTTTACATAAAATGTTAAACAGTAAAAATGGAGCGGCAATAAAATTGACAATTAAGTTTTTTCACAATTTCTACTATTTCCAAGATTGATCAACAGACTGAATTATGCGCTTATAATTCAAATTATTTTTTTATCTATGCTATGATTTTCATAATGTCCAAAAAATTCTCATTATTACTTGTAAGTAGACCCTGAAAGTTATGGGTGCTTTTCAGCAAGCAACACAGGCAACACAAAGACACACTGTGTGCAACATAAGTGCTTTTCTACTATTACACAATTTAACACAACCTTACTCAGCTCTTTAGCTAAGTCGCTTTGTGCTCAATTGTGTTACACTAGTGTTACACAGTGTCTATCTGTGTCTTCCTTGCTGAAAAGCACCCTATGTCTCTTATGCTATAGTCAAAGTTACTTGAACGTCAAAGTATAATTCCGATATCAATATCCGGAATTCTTCGTCATATTGTGATTAAATAAAACTTATTGGGGATATACAAGTTTTCGAAAATTTTAGCTAAGCAAGTATTTTTTAGAGACAGTGTTGTGCTTTTAAATTAAGATTATTTTAAAATTAGATAGAGAGATAAAGAAAAATGAGTTAAAAATATGTAAAATCTTAGATATGATGAAGATGATTTTGTTTTAAATACATATCTAAATAACATTATGGTATATATACAGGGTATCCCATAATTCGCGAACCACCGCGAATGGGCAGATAGAGCGTGTTGAACTGAATAGAAAAGTCCTGTATCATTTTGCGATATTCGCAATAATTATTGAGTTATTAACTAAA